CCTCTCCGAGTCGTTCGATACCAAACGAGGTTTCAGACAAGGCGACTCCCTATCTTGCGATTTCTTCAACCTACTTCTGGAGAAAATAATTAGAGCTGCGCATTAGAGGACGCAGAAAAAGAGAGAAAAGATTTATGGCCCTTTGCGCTTAGGCCACGGCGAGTATCGCACTCGATGGAATGATGAGCTGTACGAGATATATGGCGACATTGATATAGTTCAGCGAATTAAAAGACAGCGGCTACGCTGGCTCGGTCATGTTGTCCAGATGGACGAAAACACTCCAGCTCTGAAAGTATTCGCCGCTGTACCCGCCGGGGAAGCAGAGGAAGAGGAAGACCGTTCCGTTGGAAGGACCAGGTGGAGAAGGACCTGGCTACGCTTGGAATATCCAATTGGCGCCACGTAGCGAAAAGAAGAAACGACTGGCGCGCTGTTGTTGACTCTGCTATAATCGCGTAAGCGGTGTCTACGCCAATTAAGAAGAGGTAGAACCAAATATGTAGCATTTTGGTCGGCCACTTTTTGCCATTTTTCCGCTAGAGACATTATTCTATCAGTGTAAAGCTTTCATCAGTGTAAATCGAAATTTCGAAATTTCCAGTACGGAGGCGCGCGAACCATTATTGTGCCATACGAACTGATACAGCATCATCTCCGTAAGCTCCACAAATTTCCTTTTCACTCATTTTTGAACAGCTGTAACTTTTTATCAACTTCCMCGAATTTAATTATTGGTTAAAAGAAGCTTAAAATTTTACCTTTCCAATACTAGATGGTATGACACATTGTGATTGGCAGCACTGGAGACATACGACTGCAACGACATCTATTGCAAAAATACGAAAAGACTTTTTCGACTACCCAATACCGTACKAAAGAGCTAGTTATAAATATCTTTTATGTCATAAACTTTTCGTTTCATTTTACGTTTTTTGTTCGAGTATTTTTAGTGGTAAACAGCACCTTTATACCTGTCAAACTATTAGATTTATTTCACTTCCTGTTTCAGCTATCAAATTTTTACAATCGTTGAAAGGAATTTTGGTTTTTTTTTTATAGCTGAAAAAAACAAGTTTTATATTTCTTATGAAAGTTAATTAATTAGAAGATATCGAAATTTTGATTAAATAGCTTTCTCGTAAAATGTGAGACTGTTCGTACTTCAAAGACAAAGGTATACTAAGCACATTATAGTAATTATTATAC